CCTCCCTCCCTCCCTTCTTTCTGTCCCTCACCCCTCCCTCCTTCCCTCCTTCCCTCCTTCCTTCCTTCCCTCCTTCCCTCCTTCCTTTCCTTCCTTCCTTCCTTCTTTCTTTCTTTCCTTCTTTTCTTCCTTCCTTCTTCCCTTCTTTTCTTCTTTCTTTCTATCTTTCTTTCTTCTGGTCCTGGGGCTTGAACTCAGGGCCTGGACACTGTCACTGAGCTTCTTTTGCTCAAGGCTAGCACTCTACCACTTGAGCTACAGCGCCACTTCCAGCTTTTTCTTTTTATGTGGTGCTGAGGAATGGAACCCAGGGCCTCATGCATGCAAGGCCAGCCCTCTACCACTAAGCCACCTTCGTAGCCAGAGAGGTGACTTTGCAAGCAGAGGTCTCCGTGGCACAGATGTGGAGGCTTGTCCACAACTGTAGCTGCTCATAGAACCTTCCAGGCACTCCGAGGGGCACCTAGGTTGTATGGAATGTCAGCCCAACTTTTCCAGGATGGGTGTGAGTGCATTGGGCAGTAAACACGTTGACAGAGATGTGACTCTCTAACGCGACCCGGTCCATGGTGATGCGTCTGACTGCTTCTTCCACTTAGCACGCCATGAACGTCATCGGCATCTTTGCAGAAGAGCAGACGCTGGTGCTACAGATCGTGGCTGGCATCCTCCACCTGGGGAATATCAGCTTTAAAGAAGTGGGGAACTATGCGGCGGTGGAGAGTGAAGAATGTACGTATGGGCTGCTCAGCCATGTGGCTGAGTAGTGGCGGGGGGGTGGTGGTGAATGGGGGGGTGCTCGGTTCTGCTTACAGCTGCCTAGATCTCTGCTTCAGCCCAGTCCCACCTGGGGTATATCTCTCTGCAAAAGGATGACAAGTGATCCAGGTGCCAGTGGCTCACGCCTATCATCGTGACTACCGAGGAGACTGAGATCTGAGGATCATGGTTCAAGACCAGCCCAGGCAAAAAAAAAAGTCCTTGAGACTCTAATCTCCAATGAACCACCAGAAAACCAGAAGTTGCTCAAGGACAGTGCTCAGGCCCTAAATTCAAGTCCCAGGATTACCCCCCCCCCCCGACACACATACACACACACAAGGTGACAAATGTTTTTATAATGAGCATCAGAAAGACTCAACCTTTTCCTTCCTCTCCTCCCTTCCAGCATCTGTATGTCCCACATTATAGATGATTAATAAAAGCATTGCTTTTTTGTATGTGTGCCAGTCTTGGGACTTGAACTGAGGGCCTAGGCATTGTCCCTGAGCTTTTGTGTTCAAGGGTAGCACTCTACCACTTGAGCTCTAGCTCCACTTAACTCGGTGGTTAATTGGAGATAAGAGTCTCATGAACTTCCCTGACCAGGCTGGCTTCAAACTGTGATCCTCAGATCTCAGCCTCCTGAGTAGTTACGATTATAGACATGAGCCACTGGTACCTAGCTTGCTTGCTTGCTTTTTTTTTTTCTTTCTTTCTTTCTTCCTTCCTTCCTTCCTTTCTCTTCTTTCTTTTTTTTTTGGTAAAATGCCTCTTTCCCCCTTATTAACCATGGCAGAGTTTGAACTCAGAGCGTCACACTTACTCTGTAAGTGCTCTACCACTTGAGCCACACCCTATGAAATCATTTCAGTTTGTTACTAATCTTGCAGAAGTCTGAGAGTTTCACATCCGGGTTTAAAGATACACATGATTATGGAAGTTCCTCAAAAAAAAAAAAAGACATACATGAATGTCTTTTCTTAGATTTGTGGCGAAGTGAAAAGCTGAGTCATTTAATGCAACTTTTTTCTTCTCTGGCTTTTGTCTCCATTCATCTAAAAATTGATACCCAGGAGACAATGGCTCACGCCTGTCATCCTAGCTACTCAGGAGGCTGAGATCTGAGGATCATAGTTCCAAGCCAGCCTAGGCAGGAAAGTCTGTGACACTCAGATCTCCAATGAACCACCAAAAAGCTGGAAGTGGAGCTGTGGCTCAAGTGGTAGAGTGCTAGTTAGCCTTGAGCAAAAAGAAAAAAGCTCCGGATCAGCATCCAAGGCCTTGAGTTCAAGCCCCAGGATGGGCACCAAACAAAAGAAAGTGATAGAATAGTAGATAGTGTGGATAGCTAGATAGTGTGGGCAGATGTGGAAAGCCACCAGGTTTGTCCTGAGGTTGGATTGAATTTGACTTCTGAATGTAGAAAGAAGTCAACTTTGTTAAGTGCGTGGGGATTTCTGCATGAGACTTCGACTGCTAACTGGGTTGAGATTTCTGCATGAGCTTTGCTCTCGGGATGGTATTGGAAGCAATCCAGTGCTGCTGCCTGCTGGGCAATGGTCTTGCTTCCACATTGTTTGCTTGAACTCCCTTTGCTTATGATCTGCCCCACATACCATGGCATCCACGACCTTCCAGGCTCCCCCCCACCCCCCCACCCCCCGCTTGAACCCACCCAGGAAGGCATTTCTTCCTTTCTCAGCATTCTTCCAGGATGATAAATTTAGCTCCTGAGTAATAAATAGTGTCCCCACTCATTGCTGACTGGGCACTGAGTATATTTCCATCCCAAATAAGGGTGGCTTTGATGCATTTTTATTTGCTTTTCTCATAAAAGAGGGAAGTTCTGCTAACTTCTGATGGGTATCTGACTATGATGAATTGGGTTTACCAGGAAGTCGAGAGTAAAACAATAATAATAATAATTTAAAAAAGAACGGGGTGTCTATCCAGAAAGCTGAGCAATGCGAGTATTAGGATGAGAGTCTGTGTCTGCTGACACTATCCTTGGCCTGAGAAATGCACCCCGGTGTCTGGGATACCATTTCCCCTTGACCCCCATTTCCTCCTCTGTGGGGTTTGGTGATGGTGTGTGAGGAAACACACTGGCTTTCTCTCGCCTCTTGAGTAGGAAAATCCTCTATAACCAAGTACCAGTGGCTCACACCTGTCATCCTAGCTAGTCAAGAGGCTGAGATCTGAGGATCGTGGTTCCAAAGCAGTAGAACACGAAGCCTTGAGCACACGAAGCTCAGGGACAGCACCCAGGCCCCTGAGTTCAAGCCCCAGGACTTGCACAAAAGAACAATAAATGAAAGGTCCTCTATTGCTTCTCGCCGCTTGAGAACAGCTGCGGCCTGAGCCAGCCCGCACCTTCCCTCGGCTATGTGATTGTCTGGTTGTCTGATTCCTCCCTGAGGTGTGGTGTTTGTGGCCTTCTCTGTCAGATGAACACAGTCTAGCATTGGCAGATTCTCTCCCTGAAGGAGCCAAGTAGGTCTAACATCGGGGTAGACCATGTTCCTTGTCTTTTCTTTTTTCAAAATCTGGTTCTGGATTTCGTTCTGTGGGTGGGTCTTATACTGACACTATAAAAGGGGTATCGAGAGAAGGCGCTCCATGCACCCCTGTGCATTCAATGCGTGCCTCTCCTCAGTATCAGCCAGGGTTCCAAGAATATTACAACAACCGCACTCACCCATTCAGTTCCCCTATTTTTGTGTTGCGTTGGGAGTTGGTAATTCAGTGTCTATATAGTTGCTTTCTCATGGGACATTATTGTCCTGGAGATGATTCTGTATCAGATCAGAAAGGAGCTTCATCCTTTTTGATAGCTGTGTAGTATTCTGTCACTTGACTTGACTTCGATTGATTGAAGCCATCACCTGATGCCGAGGAAGATGATTGTGTTGATCTTCTGAATGAACTTTCTAGGGTGAATATGTGTCATAGGTTTTGTTTGTGCGTGGTTTGTTTTTGGTGGCACTATGATTTGAACTTGGGCCTTTTTGCTTGCTAGGCTGGCCCTGTAATGATGACCTAGACCTGCAGCCCATTTTTGCACAGATTGTTTTTGAAAGAGGGTTTTACTTCCTGTCCAGGCATGTATGTGAACCACAATCCACCTGATTTAGAGCTAGGCCAACATGCCTAGCTCTTGGTTTTGAGAGACGGTATGGGAGAGGGCTCATCTCATGAACTTTCTGTCGGGGCTAACCTCTGTTGGGGCAATCCTCCAAATCTCAGCCTCCTAAGGAAGTAAGATTAAAGACATGAGCTACAGGTGCTGGGCTTTAGTGGCATACATTTATAATGGAGAAGAGAGTCTCACAGACTTTCCTGCCAGGGCTGGCTTTGAACCACCATCCTTAGAACTGCGGTCCTCAGTAGCTTGTAGCTGGTGGCTGTGAGTCACTAGTGTATCCTGAACACAGAGAAACCCCATTTTCCTTTTAAATTTGTCCAAGGGGGAATTTTGCCACATCGTTGAAGGTTTTTCTCTCTTTCCTGCACCCGAAATTTAAATGGGGGGAAAAAATCAAGCCCAACTTTGCTTTCTACTTTCACGCGATAATAGGAACCTATCTCCATTGAAGCATTCCTTTTTAGGAATGGTTTTCCTTGTTGTTTTACATGACTCTCAATGAGAATTCATCCTTCTCTCTTTCCTCCTCTACTTCCCCCAAGCCTCCGGGACCTCTGTTCTCACTCACACAACCTCATGGAAATTCCCAGCCTGAAGGAAGTCAGGAGAAACAGCCCTATAATTTCAGCACCAGGCTGGCCACTGAAGAAAATAAAAAGGCCATAAAAAGCTTGTGCTTGGAAAACCTGGCGTGGAGTTTGTCCAAACCAAGTACTCTTATTTCCTCTCTCGTCGGCTTGGCTGTTTTGCTAAGCTTGTGGCTCTGATTCCTAGCCAAATTCCAGGCCTTGTTTTTGGAGGTATCTACCCACCACCCTCAGGTCCCTCCCTGTTCTGTAGGATGAAAGGCTGGGCTGGGCCTTTGTCTCTTCTGTAGTGTGTGTGTGTCTGTGTGTCTGTGTGTCTGTGTGTGTGTGTGTCCTTCTGTCTATCCCAGTCTGTACTTATGTCTGTCCTGTGGCTTGAACTCAAGGCCTGGGCCCCATCTCTGAGCTTTTCTACTCAAGGCTAGCACTCTACCACTTTGAGCCACAGCTCCACTTCTAGTTTTCTGGTGGCTCATTGGAGATCAGAGTCTCACGCACTTCCCTGTCCGGGCTGGCTTCGAACCATGATCCTCAGACCTCAGCCTCTTGAGTAGCTAGGATTACAGGGCATGAGCCACTTGCACCCGGCTTGTTGGGAGTATTTTGGGGAAGGATTCAAATCAATGACGCATTCCTTATTCTGGCATTCTACTATTTTCCAATCTGTGTTCGCCAACTGAATCTCCGGCAACTGAAGGCTGAGAAATGTCAGCTTCCATACACCCCAACACCACCTGTGCCATTCTAACAGCTCAGCCTTGGCAGGGAGGTTTGTGTTTTCTCCACCGTTAGCATCTGTCTTTTAATATTAGTTATTAGTACTATATATTTTTTTATCAACTTAATTTTGATCGTGTGAGAGCCTGGTGCTTGTTAGGCAAGTACTCTGCCGCTTGAGCCAGGTACCTTGCCATTTTTCCTTGGTTGTTTTTGTATCCAGGCCAACGATCCTCCTATTTATGCTTCTGGTATAGTTGGCATGCTGGACAAACACCAGGACCACCAGCGTTTTATTGATTGACATAGTCTCATGAATTTTTTTTTTCAGGTCATGGGGCTTGAACTCAGGGCCTGGGCACTGTCCTTGAGCCTGTCAGTGCTCAAGGCAAGTGCTCTACCACTTGAGCCACAGCACCACTTCTAGCTTTTTCTGTTTATGGGGTAACCAGAGCTTCATTTGTGCTAGGCAAGCACTCTACCACTAACATTCCTAGCCCAATGAGCTTTTTTTTTTAATGCTTGGACTGGTCTCAGCCCTCAATCCTCCTGATTTCTGCCTCCTGAGGACTTTGTGTATACCCTGGTACCCAGTATTGTCATAAAGTCTTCCATACAACCTTCAATCAGAGACATTTGGTCAAGCTTTATGCTGAAAAAGTTCATAATTTTCATTTGCATCTGTAAAAGTCTTTTATTCATCCTGAGACAACTGGAACTTTTCTTTCAGGCCTGAGAATGCTATCATTTATTCACAGTGGAGCACACTGATTAGAAATCAAGAAAACCCCAGGTCTAACACAGCCCTCTTCTTGGTATTAAGTCCTCAAACAAGTTGTCTGGCCATGAGCCTCATTTTGTTTCTTTCTTTCTTTGTGATGGCCCTTGGGCTTGAACTCAGGGCCTGGGCACTGTCCCTGAATGTGTGTGTGTGTGTGTGTGTGTGTGTGTGTGTGTGTGTGTGTGTGTGTTCAAAGCTAGCTTCCTACCACTTTGAGCCACAGTGTGGCTTCTGGTTTTCTGGCAATAATTTGGAAGTTAGAGTCATGGACTTTCCTTCCTGGGCTGGCCTCGAACCATGATCCTCAAATCAGCTCATTGATAACAGGTGTTCAGGGTCCTTGAAAACATGAAAACATTGCACCCCCATCCTACCCCCTAGGAAGAAAACAATATCTGAAGCCAAGGAAATGTGTTTTGATTGACTTCCATCCAGGGCATCTGGCCATAAGCTCAGAGAAGTGTCTATTTTAGAAATTTCGCCACCATCATAGTGGTCCTTCTTGGACTGCTAATTTGTGTGATTGGAAATCATCATAGGAATTGGCTTATGTAGTTAAAAAGAAAACAAAAAAAACAAATCTGGGAGCCAAGTATCTGTGGCTCATGCCTGTAATCCTAGCTACTCAAGAGGCTGAGGACTGAGGATCGTCAAAGCCAGCCCAAGTAGGAAAGCCTATGAGACTTTTACAGTTAACCACTGGGAGGGGGAAGGGGAGGGGGGGGGAACCAACAGAAGTGGCTGGTGACTCAAAGTGGTAGAGTGTTAGCCTTGAGCTGAGGGACACAGTACCAAGGCCCTGAGTTCAAGCCCCTGACAGCAACAAAATAAAAAGACAAAATATAAAACAAGAAGCTCAAGTGTAGCATCCAGCTCTAGGACCAGCACAAAAACAAAAACAAAAAACACCCAAACCTAAAAAAAAACTAGCCTAGGCACCAAAGTCCATGAGACTCTTCAGTTAACCAGTAAAAAATGGGAAGTGGAGCTATGGCTCAAGTGGTAAAGTACCAGTCTTGGTTGATATGTTCAAGCAAGAGCAGCAGGCCCCAAACTCAAGCTCCAGTACTAGTACAACGCTCTCTCTCTCTCTCTCTCTGAGGAGGAAACAAAATAGGTAAGTGTGTAAGGATCTCTTTTGCTGGATAGGACTTTTATTTGGGGGGGGCAGAAATTGAGGGATTAACCATAATCCATGTATCTGTGCACACGGTGCCCCATTCACGGCTCCGTGCATTTGGGAGGTGGGTTCTAATTGTGTTTTCTCTCCTGCAGTTCTGGCTTTTCCGGCTTACCTGCTGGGGATTAACCAGGAGCGGCTGAAGGAGAAGCTGACTAGCCGGCAGATGGACAGCAAGTGGGGCGGGAAGTCTGAGTCTATCCACGTGACTCTCAACGTGGAGCAGGCCTGTTACACCCGGGACGCGCTCGCCAAGGCCCTTCACGCCCGCGTGTTTGATTTCTTGGTGGATGTAAGTCAATGTAGGTTGATGAGCGGATAGGGGTGAGGGGAGGGGGGAGGAGGAGGGAGAGGCTTCCGAGGAAATTTCGTGAAGGTTTGTTTTCATGCATGAGATCAACCCTTCCCATCCTGACCCAAATTGTCCACCTCTCCTCTGTGGATCTTCTGGGATGCTTTCAGCCAGCGTTTTCTTCTAAGCATTTCTGGCTTGTACTTCTCGTGTTCGGCGCTTACTAGAAACATTAGCTAAAGCTGACAGGATGAAGTTCCTTCTGTCTTACTTCAGTAGAGCCAGGATTAGTGGCCAGAAAAAGGAAACTCATGATCCTGTGGCCTTCCTTGATTTCCGGAGTCTAAAGATTTAAGAATGTTGTATGTGTCATGCATTGCTGTGTAACAAATGGATCTCATATATAGCTGCTTGCAGTTAGAACTTTGTGTGTGTGTGTGTGTGTGTGTGTCCATCCATGTCTGATCATACGTATGTATGTATATGTGTGCGTGCTGGTACAGGCTCTTGAACTCAGGGCCTGAGTGCCATCCCTGAGCTTTTTCACTCAGGGCTGGTGCTTTCCCACTTGGAGGAGACCCTAAGTGCTCATCTCGGTTGAGTTACTGTCCAGTGCTGAACATCAAGGACTTTTCTTGCCACCCATGCCTCAGTTTCTCTGTGGTAAAGTGATTGACACTCACTTCTGCTGGCATTTAAACTGGGTATTTATACTATGTGCCAGCCACTAAGTGTTTCCTACTTAGCGATGAGCCATTTTCTTTTTTGGGGAAAATCTTCCTGGTAATTCACGAAGTGGTAGAGTTTGCCACTTCTAGAAATTTTTCTCCCTGATATATTCCTCCCTCTTCTGCCTCCTTTGCTAAGTCTTCCTCCTCTACCCCATTGTAACTTGTCTGCTGATACTGAATTGTGTTGTCTTTCTCGGTAACCAAGAACCCGGATTTCAGCTTCCCACTGGTTACATTTAATCCCAAAGCCACCTCCCTGCCCTGGGCCATTTTAGGGATCCATCTGGAAATGAGGGTTAGTTGTTATGAGAATGGAATAGGCACACATAGCAATAATCCCTGGTGAGTTTCTAGCCAGAGTGGCCAAGCATGGAGGCTAGATCCTGGTAAACTGCTCTAGTAGCAATTCAAATATAATGGAGCTGGGCTGTCAGCAGCTTCTGCCCGCCATCCTAACTGTTCAGGAGGCTGAGATCTAAGGATCACAATTCAAACGCCAGCCCAGGTAGGAGAAAGTCCATGAGACTCTTTTTTTTTTTTTTCAATTTTTTTTAGTCGGTTGTGGGGCTTGAACTCTGGGCCTGGGCACTGTCCCTGCGCTCTTCAGCTCAAGGGGAGCACTCTACCATTTGAGCCACAGTGCCACTTCCGGTTTTCTAGTGGCTTATTGGAGATAAGAGTCTCATGGACTTTCCTGCCTGGGCTGGTTTTGAACCACGATCCTTAGATCTCAGCCTCCTGAGTAGTTACGATTATAGACATGAGCCACTGGTACCTAGCTTGCTTGCTTGCTTTTTTTTTTTCTTTCTTTCTTTCTTCC